TTGATTCGGGGTTATTTTAATTTTGGGGGTGATGGCTTCCTTTGGGGATGAAGCGGGGGCGGCGGTGGCTGTTTGAGTTCTATTGCTTCAGCTTATGGTTTTTATGCTGTTGTTTGTTTATGTTGCTTACAGGCTTATGTTTGTGTTAATTTTTCGTTGTATTTTGTGCTTTGTTTGGACTTAATCCATTTATCACAAATTATAATTTCCGCACATCTTTAATGAAGTTTACTTCCTGACGAAAAAAAAGGAAAAAAAAAACTTTTAATGTTAATGCCTCTTTGTTAACTAAATTTAGCCCCGGATTGATAAATAAAGTCACCCAACACAATTAGTAGTGTATGATTTAAAATTGGATCTACCCTCAATTATGTTATATGTGCCTAAGAAAAAGGAAAAAATGTGCAACTTGGTTCGTCATCTACATCATGAGTCATGAGGGTGGGATTAAGATACAAATTTCATTTTCATTACTCATACTCCACCCTGTCTTTGTAAACAAGTTATGTTGTTAATCATTATCGCTATTATTGTTTTTTCGTAGAAAATATTCTTAAACTTCTTCTTGAGAATATGAAAAGGAGAAATTGAACACACAATCACTGATGCATATAAAAATGTTCTTTAAACGTCTGAGTTGTAAATTTTTTACGGTACTCAATCTTAAAGCCAAGGATACAAAAATTTGATTTCCTTTCTTTTGATTATTTTGCGATTGTAAAGCAAATGAGTTAGTTCACTAAATCATGTTAAATTATAAACGGAGAAAAAGTCTATCATTGTAGAAGATAAAAAAGCATATCAATTAAGGCCATCAATTACAATTAGTAGCTGAAACTTTCCATCAATTATGTGATTAAGAATTAACCATTGATTAGATTTTAATAAATGAGATTACCGAATATTTTGAAGGAATTTACAATGTTTATAGAACAAATAACGCTTTTTTGCACGCGGAGAGTAACGGGTAAACATAAAAACTCAGCCTCTGGCAATTACAAAACGTCGTCACTTCACAGCAGGGAGTCCTCATGTCTGCCTTTGGTAAAGTGAACCATCATGTTTCTCAATCACACCTGCCAATAATACATGGTTTTGCCAGATGACCGCCAATCGCAGCAAGCGTTCTGGCGCGTGTGAAACGGATGAGCGTGGTTCTTTGATTTTGGCCGATCTGTAATCTGTTTAAGTAACAAAAAAGTGAGGAATAATTACGTCACGCGTGGGTGGTGGGTGATGAGTTACCAAATTTGCGGCTAAGACCCCGTTTGGATTGTGTGGAAGTTGTGAAGTGGGAGTGGGGAAGCTTGTTTTATTTCTTAATCACGTTCCTAATTGGGATTAAGCCCGCATAATTCAAGGCTCCGCTACGCATTTAAAACGCTTGTTTCCTTATGTGAATTGCGAGTAATTTAAGTTTGCGGTGTCTATAATGTCTTTTTATTTTTGAGGTAAAATTTGCCTTTTGGTTTTGCTTTTCTGTCCACTATTTTGCAGATTTTATGTTTGAATCCACGCACAGCTAGTAGATTTTTTTTTTTTTTTTTTTAACAAATGATATTATCTACACTAAAATGGTGAACGATAGATAAGTGAGATAAGTCTCACACAGGGCTAGCCATAATAATGTCGTTTAAATTCGCATTTGGTGAGAATCGAACCTAAAACCTAAAATCTCTCACTTACAAGTAAAGAGAAATATCATTATATTGTAGAACCAAGTGGCCTTAATATGTCACATTTTATCCTATAATATGAGAAAATACCTGAAATTAGAACTGATTCCTGAAGGCTGATCTCTCACAATTTAGCAGTCATACTTATTCTATATAATTCTAGGCTTCTTATATACGTAAGGAGCTATATCTTTTTACACAACAGCGAGTCATTACCTACACACATAAACGTTAGAATTTAGATTGCTATTATTTTATCATCATCTAAATATCATAATTAAAAGAATTTATTTAATTTAAAGTCTATTTAAATATCATAATTAAAAGAATTTATTTAATTTAAAGTCTATTTATATGTGTTAAATATCATAATCAAGTTGTGTGATTCATATTGATTTAATCCATCTATGAAAGGATCGATATTTATTAAATAAAATATTTAAGTGATGTCACGTCGTATAAGTAGTTAAACAATGTCCCTCGTCAAACACCATGTTATGACTCTAAGCCCTTGTGGGTTATGTCATCAAAGAAGAGATTTCACTAACGATGGGTCCCCCGTATTTCTTCACTGGAGGCGGCTACAATAAGCCTATTAAGCTAAAGAATTCAAGTAAAAAATTGCGGGGTGAATATGATGGTAGGAAGAAGCTTGTACCTCTTGCTGAACACTCTCGGTCCAAAAACCTAGTTTTTGTTGTGGGTGTTATTTTAATTTTCTGGTGATGGCTTCTTTTGGGAATGAGACAGCGGCGGCAATTTGGGTTTTGATGTTTAAGGTTTTGGTTTTATTTGTGTTGTTTGTTTTTGTTGTCTACATGCCTAAACGAGGACAAAAAACAAGATGAGCTTTTGGCAAGAAAAACAAAGTGTGCTCCATACACTAAAGGCAAGCTTAGTGCACGACCAAAAAATGGCATGTAAAATGAGGCAGGCTGGCACACGAAAATTGAGATGGGTCAGTGCATGTAAAATTGAGGCAGACCGACGCATGCCAAACAATGCTGGCCCAGGCGTACGGTTCAACCATTGTTGCCCTCACGAAACATTGGTGTCAAAGGTAGAGCATATATAAGCTGCTATCAATATAGGGTAGAATTTAGTTTTAATCTCACAAGTCAACCATTGTTGCCTATATGAACCATTTATGTCAGGTTTAGTTTTAATCCCATGTGCCAACCATGTTTACTGTATGAACCATATGGGCCGGGGTAGGCATTTATATAGGGTAGGTTTAGTTTTAATCTCATGGATCGACCATTGTCACCCACAAAAGCATTGGTGCCAGGGGTAGGCATTTGTAGGCTGCATCAATAGGGGATCTCAGGGGGTCAACCATGGTTGTCGGACGAAGCTTTGTTGCCGAGGTGGGGCATTTATAAACCGTTATCAACCATATTCACACTAAAGTTGTAACTTTTAACATAGAAACCCCTTCTTAAAAAAAACATTTGTTCACAACGATGCTGTGAGGGAAAAATTTGAGTGTGTCAGGAACTGAAACTCGCCGAACTAAGGGTGTTATTTTCATGGCCCAATACTCTTCACCTGTTACTATTCACACGCCTCTAAACCCTAAATCTCATGGGCCTTCATTGCTTCTGCTGCACCTTGGGCCTTCCTGAAGGCATGAGTTTGGGCTACGTCTCCATGCGCCTAACCCATTAATTTAAATTATTTTGTTTTTCCCATACCGCAACACCAAATTATTATCTTCATATTCTACAAAATGTATTTTGGTGAAAATTTTCTTATAATCCATGTCAAAAAAATTCAAAAACAAGAATATAAATTTAAAGGTATTTGAATCTAGATAAAGTAGCGTGGAAGAAAAAGAAAATTAATGGAAAGAGAAAAAAGGAGAAAAAAATAAAAAAATGAAAAGGATACGATCGGTACTTTCATACCGATTCTTAGTCAGATATATCGTTAGTAAGTTAGCGACTTTAATAAAACAAGTCGCTAACTTCATACCGATCCCCCCATTTTCAATTTTTTTACATTTTCAGTTTTGTTGTTGTGATTTTTTTTTTATCTTTCTTACCATAACAAACTATCATATTTATGTTCTTCAAAATATATTTTTCCGTGCAAAATTTATTATATTTCATATTGAAAAACTTGGAATCAACGATTTAAAACCTAAATTTAACGATATTTTTCATCTTTAAAAATCAATAAAAAATAGTTTCAGAACCTAATAAACGGTAGACCATATCCAAAGTTCTTGCAATATTTTCCTCAATCTAAACCCCTAATCCCTAAATCTCATGGGCCTCCACTACTTCTGTTGCACCTTGGGCATTCCTGAGGGCATGAGTTTGGGTTGCGTCTCCCTACACCTAAGTCATTAATTTATTTATTTAATGTTTTGTTTTTTATTTTTGTTAAATTTTTGTTTTTCACATACAACGACACAAAACTATCATCTTCATGTTCTACAAAATATATTTTCAAAGAAAATTTTCTTATAATCCGTATAAAAATTAGAAAATTTTCTTATACTCTACTTAAATTTAATTTTGAATATATTCACTGCACAAATTTAAAAATTTAAACTTAATTAACGATAATAAATAAGAGAATGACCATGACATCATAATGTCACTTGATGAACGAAAATATACCATCAGTAAACTAGCTGTCAAGTGTCAACCCATCAGCAAAAATATACCCACAGTTTCATTTCCAACTTTGGCCTTTTCCCCACGGTTCCCTTCCTGTTTCCCCCCTCCCAATAAAATGTTCACAATTTTATTTTTACTTAACATAATTAATCCAAAGAATTAACCCAAAATCCCCTATTAGACTAACTCCAATGGTAGGCTAAAAGTCAAATTACCCTATAAAATTTTTCCCCAAACCCAATTCAACCTAAGGGGAAATTTTGGGCTAAATGCTAAATGCTAAACCAAGGCCAAATTCCCTTCAAAATTTAGGCCAGAAATCGAAGTGGACTCCATCCAATATTTATCGGAATTTAAATTTTTTTAGATTAAAATGTTCATAAAATTAATTTATGATAGTCTACATATTTATTTATTTTTTTTAAATTTAATTTAACAAAAAAAAAGCCTAAGTTCATTCTTTAATAATTCCGGGCTAAAATTTTAAGATGAAACGATTGGAGGGCTAAAATATTTGGGTTTTAGCCCAACCATTAGAGATGGTCTTAGTACATTTACCAAACAAATTATTAAATTAAATTTTAAAAAATAAAAAATAAATATAATATATAATTAAAAAAAACAGCTGGAGCTTTGAGAAGAGCAGACCAGGTTTGGGGTAACTATATGAGCATCCACTCCCCATTCTTCCGTTCCTCTTTCTCTCTCTCGCTCTCTCTCTCTCATCTCTCTCCTCCTCCACCCCCAAAAGAAGGAGAAGAAGAGAGTTGAAATTCTAAACCACCACCACCCACCAAAAAACCCCCACAATACTCTCTTACTCACTCCACTTCGCCGCCGCAATGGACCCACCACCAGTGGCCCCGCCGCTGCAACCCCACCACCTCAACTACCCGGAGTCCCTCGACTCCTCCCCTCGCTCCCGCAACACCGACTCATGGGACGATCCCATCCCCTCCACCAACAGGCTCCGCCTCATGTGCAGCTACGGCGGCCACATCGTCCCCCGCCCCCACGACAAGTCGCTATGCTACGTCGGTGGCGACACCCGAATCGTCGTCGTCGACCGCCAGACCTCCCTCTCCGAACTCTCCAACCGCCTCTCCAAGACTCTACTCAACGGCCGACCCTTCACCCTCAAGTACCAGCTCCCCAGCGAAGACCTCGATTCCTTAATCTCCGTCACCACCGACGAGGACCTCGACAACATGATCGACGAGTACGAACGCACGGCTAACCACAGCGGCGCTTCGTCCAAACCCTCACGCCTCCGTCTCTTTCTCTTCCCCCTGAAGCCCGAGTCGTCGCAATCGATGGGGCCCATTCTCGATATTTCAGCCAATAAGTCTGAGGACTGGTTCTTGAACGCGCTCAATGGCGAGTCCGATATGCTCAATCGGGGCTTCTCCGACTCCGCCTCCGTCAATTGCTTGCTGGGTCTCGACGACGATTCGATTTCAGGCGGGGCTGCCAATAATTTGGACTCCGGTTCGAGAGACGTCGAGGCTTCAGTTCCTGCGAATTGCAAGAATGCCAAACAGGGCGGAGGTGGCGGCGGTGGGAACGGGCAGGACGTTCACTCCGTCCCCGATTCGCCGATGCTTGAGAACTCCTCTTCGTTTGGGTCCACGTCATCGTCGCCATCGCTTGCGAACTTGCCGCCGATTCGGGTCCACGTGGAAGATGGTGGCGGCGGCGGAGGTGGAGATCGGATTAGAGTGCAGGATCAGAAGATGGGGATAGAAGAGCAGTTCGCTCGGATGACTGTTGGTGGTGGTGTTGGCCCTGTTGGGCAGAGGCAAGACGACGGTGGCTTCGCGGTCCTTTCATCGCCTCCTCCGATTCCCACTACCATCGTGGCATCCGCCGCACCACTGAGCACGGCCACCGATTACTTGAATCGAGTAGTTTCGGACGACGAGCGATCCGATCACGGCGCCCCAGTTGGGTATCGGAAACCGACGCCTCCTCAGCCTCAGCTTCAGCCACAGACTCTGCCTCCTCAGTCTCAGCTGCCTAAATCTAGTGGCGTTGTTGATTTGCCCTCCCCAGATTCTGTTTCAAGGTATGCCTAATTTTTCACGATAATTGGCTTGATTAATCGTTTAGAACTTTTGTTTTTAATTATCTGCCTGTTTAAATTACTTATAAGTTGTTGTTTGGGGTGATGGTCAAGTGATTAATTGGGGATTATAATTTCAATTCTGCAGTGACAATAGTTTATCAAATGCCATGTCTCGCCCAAAACCTGTAATTTATCAAGACCCAGTGGTTCAAATCCCCTCTGCAAACGCCAGGTTTCCGGCAAACCTAGTTGATCCGAAATTAAATCTTTCCGATCCAAACACTCGGATTCAGATGCAACAACAGGTTCACGATTCTGGGTACGTTTTGCAATCGCAATTCGATCATCAACAGCAGCAGCAGCAACACCAACAACACCCACAACAAGCACAACAGCCACATCAATTTATACACCCCGGAACACATTACATCCAGCAACACCCAGGTTCGGTCCCCATTCCGGCGTACTACCCAGTATATCCGCCCCAGCAGCAACAGCACCACCATCATCATCCCCAGCTTGATCAGCAGCAGCAGCAGCAGCAATACCAATTTTATTACATGCCTACCAGGCAGCCACAACCTTACACCACTTTGCCAGTTCAGCAATCGAATATCAGCGATTCTGCCGCTCCTATCCCTTCGACCCGCTCCCAAACGCCTCCTAACCCTGCCATGTCCTCCCCTTCTGCGCCTTACAACCAGATAAGGAATCCCCAAATTGCCAAACCCGAACTGGGTGCCCCAACAGGGGTGTACAGAACGGCAACCACAGCAGCTCCGCCTCTAGTTCAAGTCCCATCTGCTCAGCATCAGCAGCAATTTGTCGGCTACCCCACCCAGATGCACCATCCGTCCCAATCGGCCGTTCCTTCTTCTGGGGGCAATGCCAGTTATGCCTATGAATATGCTACTGATCCCTCTCATGCGCAGATATACTACACACAGCCTCTGGCGCCCTCAATGCCTTCTCAGTACCAAACCATGACGTCCGCGGCCGCCATGGGGCTGCCGGAAGTCTCTGCTCAGCTTCCCACCGACAGCATCAAGCAGCAGAGATGAGGGAAGTGAACAATGCCTGGAGAAGGAAACAATTTTGGGGAAGTGGGAAGCTTTGATTTTTATCTTTAAAACTTATATATCTGTTTCTAGAGTCTTTGGCTTTGGTATTGGTATTTGGTTGTGGTATGTATTTGTGATAGATAATAAGCAAACTTTGGTCGTCCTCGTCGTCCTCATCCTCCTCGTCGTCTTCATCTTCGTTCTTGTAAGGTCATATGGTTGCTGCTCCATTGCCGCTGCCGTAGTCGTCATCCAAGAGAAGTGGATAGGAATATGACAAGTTGGTGTCTGGGATTATAATTATATACTGTAAAAGCTGGAAAACTCAACCAAACATAGTATTGTGTGCTTGTGCAGATCAGTTTCTGAATAAATGTTTTATAAGTAACATATGGTTTTCTTTTAATATTGTTTTGCTTAGTGCATATTGGATGAGAACGGCTTGTGCATGTTTCGCCACTCAATTGCAAATTTGTCTGCAGAAGCAGCCACTGTAATCGCAGTTTCGTGATGAGAGGGAGAGGGAGAAGCACAAGCAGTCACTTTGGTTCGTTTGCGATTGGTTTTCAAGGAAACGTTTCTGCTCATAAGTGCTTTCGTTATAATGGGATGTGCTTCTTGATGTTGACTGCCGGCATGATTGCGAGTTGACGAAAGAGCTTTACGACGGCATTGCCCTTCTTCGCTCACGAAATATTCTCGGAACCGGTTTTTTCCCCATGGGTCAAGCTTCCCCATTATTAACCCCCGCAGGAGTCCGGGCCGTTTCTCAATCCAAATGTTGCTAATCATCCTCTACAAACTAAAAACGTTTTTAGTGATTTTACGTTAAATATATTCATAAACGTTTTTTTATTGTCAAAAAACACTAGTCCCCACCACTCTAATTTAAAACTCCTGACGTATACAAAAAAAGACTGTTGTTCGTTCGATGAATTCCTACCTCTCTGTAATAAAATCTGTGGATTATAATTTGGATAAATCCCCACCAAAGCAAATGCTGTAGCTTTGCCTTTAAACTTGGTAATGGCATCTGCGAGGACGGTGACAAATCTTGTGTGGAATTGGAATTGAGTAACATCAACCGACAACGACATCTTGATCTCGTCAAAATTTGAAAACTTAACAAACAGACAAATAAAAAAATAATGTCGACCAACCACAATCAGCTAACCTCATCAGATCAAAATTGACCCGTAGCAAAAAGTGCATCGTATTCGGCAGCTCACTGATTTTCATGTGAGGAAACCAGTCACACACAGCGTTTTAGATTCTTCTTGTTTTATTTAACCTAGTAATTAAATGGCCGGTGATAGTACGAGGTTTGTGTTTTGGTTTTGGGCTGGGAGGGAGATTTCAGAGATAGTTGTACTACTGTGATTATAATTAAGTTACACGTGTTTCAAAGTTTTTCAACTCTCATGGCACGCCAAAGTTGTTTTTCAGAATTTTTTTTAATGTATCGGAAATACGATTTGATAAACCGAGTGTCACATTATAATTGGTTGAATTTTTTTTTTTCCAAGTTTTCACCAAATTGTATTATTACATCTGACGTAATAAGCCTTATTTTTGGCATACTGAAAAATTTCTTGTTGCCTCCACTTCAGTCTAAGTGAAGGCAAGTAGCTCATTACTTTTAAGTTTTAAGCAACAATTTACGACTACTATGCTAATGAAAGCAAATACGAGTTAAGCGAGTTAGTCATGCAAGAGAGCATGTTCTACCCGTAATTTAGATTAGAATAACGCAATTTGCAGCGGATATCAAACAAGTCCAAATAGAAAGAGGGACGGACCATGAAATTTGACACTTTCAAAATCCAATTGAATGTTCAACATGAAGAATATGTGAAATGTCATATTTTGATCCCTAGTTTGGCAGATGGGGTATACTATTTAATTAACGAATTATTTATTTATAAGATCTCATATCTCTAGCTTTGGGAAAGACAAAGAAAGCTCTGACAAAAGAAATCGGCGCCATTAATTCTTCATCATCTCATGTCACATTCATAGACAAGAGGAAAAGTTTTGTTTTTGGAATTCGATTTGGATTCGATCCGATTTGCAGTGGCTCCCACCACAAGAGCTTTATTTGATTTCTACTTGTATAATGCAAGCACAAAAATGCGGATTCTGGGGCCCACTATTGTCAAAAATATTTTTCGTTTCACTTACTCACTTGTTAGAACTTGTATTAAAAAATGCGCCAACAAAACTGCCTATCTCAATAACATTACTCGCTCTTACGTTAGAATTGGTAAATTAATATTGGCCCTTGCAAAAATGATTTTACATGTACGTAAAACGATAATATGATCAGTTAATGTTAACCTCGAACACTCTCACACATTGATCTACCCCACATGAAGCGAGCTGTAAGCTACCGGAATCTTCATTCTTGCAGTTTCTCCACGCCAAACGGTTTACAGCAGAGACATGGCACATCAACGGCTCAAGCCGTACGACAAGGGAAGCAACTGCGCCTGCTACTCCATCATCAGATCTTTTAACAGATAGATTCCACAGTTCAATGAGTCCGTTTTCCATTCCAACTGCGAGGAGCCCTTCGTTGCTCTTGCAATCAACACCGACCCAAGATAAGGCCATGACGCTACTACTGAACAGGGGAAGAGTCGCAAGCAGCTTCACTGAAGACTCATTTTCCACAGTCCAGATCTTCACTGTCTTATCCCTCGAGCCTGTGGCAAATTCGTACCCGTATGGATTCCAAGAGCATGCCCATATAATTCTTTTGTGTGCCTCCTGCTTTGCTATGAGCTGGTAAGTAATTTCATCGGTGCCTAAACAAAGACATCAGATGAACTATGTATCACGGGAAGTCTTACAATCTTTTGACGGGCACTGGTAACAGTGAAAGTACCAATTGGCTTAAACTAAAGAGTACCTGCTTTATCGATTGAAAATACAGAGAACTGGCGATCCCTTGACACAGCCAACAGGAATTTGTCATCATGAGAGAATTCCATTTGTGTCACTGTCAAAGTATGAGACTGCAAGCGACCAACTGCTTTCCATGAACCAATTTGCCATAGCCATATTTCTGCTACCGCTGCTGATTGGGCCTGCAACATAATCATGTTTAGTATAACAAATTAACGATAACTTATGAAACAAGTTATTCTTATTATGCCTTACTTTCAAATGATTTACACTTCTTTCGGGACTATCAAATAATTTCCTTCAATTATCCACCAGTCAAGTGCGCTCCATTCTCCGGAGCAATGTTTTGCCTAAGAACTTTATAAGATTACCCATGTTTCAGTAATTATCCCAGCAAGTACAATGACTCCACATACCTTACATGAAGAAGCAACAAACTTCCCGTCATGATCACTGCACAGAGCAAACAGCTCATTCCCGTGACCGTAAAGTTTGTGTGATTCTGGCCATAGTGTATGCCATGCCAGTTGATCTTCAATGGGAGGTTCAGTCAACACAACTGGAACAGCATCAGGAATGGTTTCAAATGTGTCGAGGCCATCATTCACATTCTTGTCTGGGGTATGCTGCTCAGCTGACAAAAAGAAACAGAATCAATGAATAAATTAAGCCCGTAAAAACAATTCCTAATTTACAAAACTTGATTAAGGAAAAAAAGGAGAACGATACCTTCAATTAAAACCACATTAAAATTACAAAAGAAAGAAAGGCGAGAGAGAGAGAGAGAGAGAGTTACCATGAACATAAATAGGTTTCTGTGATAGCCCAAGAGCAGACATATTTGCACCCAAAATCTGAACACTTACTTGGGAATCATCTGAAAAGTTAGATGTTTGTGAAATGGCATGACCCAATGTCTTCAAGAAAGACAATGGAGCTTCAAACACTCTGGCAACTTTCTCATCAGCTCCGCTGACAAATCGATGGTTCCCCTTTCCTTGGATGATGGCCACACAGTTAATATCATGACCATGAACTTGAGGTCGAGCAATTTCATGCCAAGACTCCTTGTCTCTAGGAGACGCCTCATTTTGCCAAGGAGCAAAAATTCGAGTTGTCTGATCATGACTGACTGACAGCAAGTATTGACCAGATCTTCCCCATGCAATATCTGTTATTGCTGCAAAATGCCCAGATGGAACCTTTTGTGGTTGCCAATTTTCATAGTCAGTGCCGACATTTTTCCAGAGATGGAAAGATCCACCATATCCATGTGCTAATATTGAATCTCCATTAGGGCTCCAGTGGCCACCATAAAACCCTAGAGCACAATGACTTAATTCTCCAACGGTAACAACATTCATCCAGATACCAGATGTCTTTTCGGGTTTCCATATCATCATTGTCTTGTCCATAGATGCAGATAAGATGCTTTGGGGTTGACAGTAGGCAATCCCTTCAGAAGATGCATTTGACGGGGGTTGCCACTCCACTGAATACACCCAATCCTCATGTCCAATTAGAAGAGATTCCAATGATATCTGATATGACGTTGTGCCAGCTATAAGTACAGGGCCTTCAATATAAGATGCTAAGCTTACTTTTTCTTTCCGGTAAGCACTCTGGTTGCTGTCCAAAGGCTCCTTTAAAGCCATCTTCCATATGCGTATGCCTCTGTCTTGAGATGAACTAACAAGTAGTACATTGCTTGCCTCGCCATTGGTGCACGTAGGTAATGCGAAATCCAGACTTCTGATCCAATCTGTATGCCCCTTCAATTCGCACCCTCGAACAAACTACATGTACATATGACAAGAATTCAAAACATATTTAAGGCACAAAAATGTCTAAAAAAATAAGACAGTAAGATTGATTAATATAATGCAACATACCTTTCCTCTCCTCTCCCCACTGTAAAGGTGAATTTTGTTATCCAGTCCTCCCATTGCCAGGACTAAGTGCCCAGTACTTCCAGGCAACTCTGATAACGATAGCGCTACCATGGGTTTTGTACCAACAGAGAGAGAATCCAGATGCAACAGTTCACAGTCACCTAGAATAACTCAGAAAAGTCATGTTTCCAATTGATTTTGAAATTCTTTCATTTGATGTGAAGGGAGGACTTTTGGCTGTATCATTCATTACAAAAACATGAAATTTTCGTGCTAGAGAGATGTTCAAAACTTTTTTATAATGGTTGTTTCAAGTCCATAACATGAACCTAAGTAGATCGATTTAGGGAAGAGTTTGGAGGAATGGTGTTGTCACTTCATGAATTGTCTTGTACCCCTTCTTTGACATTGTCAGTAGAATCAAATGTGTAGAACTAAAGCAAATCAACTTAGATATTAAATCTATAAAACTTATGAAAGTTAAAATTTTTTGATTTAGTCCATTGAACTTTGGGCTCACCTCCACTAGTTGATGGAAACACAACCTCCCATATATAAACCGTACTATCGGAAGACGTAGAGGCAAAGACTGCCTCAGTTTGAGAAACCATAATTCCAGTTATGCATGTGACACCCTTCTTGTGCAACTGAGGTAGTTGTTGCACATACCTCCACTGTAAAGGAAAAGCAAGGGGAGTCCATGAAGATAACACATTTCAACAGAAAACAATTCTTTCAAGTAAACAGTCTTCCGAGACTGAAATAAGTAACGAACTAGCTAGGAAATAAATGGTAGGACCTAAAACTACAACTTTTCACACAGTTTTAACTAGCCATTCGATACGTTCGTTCGGCAATTCAATGCAACCTACTGTACTGATAAGTTGCGAAGGAAACTTTAAGAAAACACCAACAAAAAACAATAAGAACTGCGATAACATGAACACCGGTAACGACAAGATTATACCTTTCCTTCAAGAACAGAGCACTCCCACAAAATAATTGCACCAGCAGCATCTCCAGAGAGCAAATAATGCCAGTCCAAGTGTTTAGCTGTGGAAATCCGCAAAATCTAGTCAGAAACCCAGATAACAACTTAAAAAATATAAATTTGAATTCAGAAAACACTAAAAATACTCTTTTTTTTTCTTCACTTGTTTCTGAGAAGTCCCAAAAGTACCTCTGAATGCAAACTTGTTACTTGGGAGCCACTGCGTGCAATTCACAGCAGCCTTGTGACCTGGAAGCGTAGTCCAAATTTGGGCAGTCTGCAGCCATTTTTGTAAAAAATGAAAAGAAAATTAGTTTCAATACAAACTGAGTTCATAAAGGAGGTAGAGAGAGAGAGAGAGAGAGAGAGAGAGAGGACCTTGGGATTGAAGATAGCAACGGCGTTTTGGGCACCGAAAGCGACTAAATCACAAGCACCCCACGAGACGTTGTTGACGATTCTGTTGCAGCCTGCTCCTATGAACACTCCCTTCACTCCAACCCCACGCCCTCCCCCTCGATCATCTCCGCTAGACATGGTGGAAGAACTGGCTCTGGTTTGGCAGACTGACGGCGGCTTCAGCCTTCAGGTGTTGGAACTTGGAAGCTCTCGTTCTGCTTTTGCTGGTTCGGCAACAAGTCAGAGTAAGGAAGAAAGGAGTGTTTGGGCCGTTGTTAGACAAATGGCGCGAGGCCCAAAATCTAAGACCTATTTCTTGGGGCTAAAAACTATAAATTCAAGCCCTATTACACCTAAATATCGATATTCCTATTCAAAATTATTGTCGTAAAAATTTCCATCTAGAGTATTCAAGCCCCAAATAAGCAATAGGCGTTTGGAAATTAAGAAGGGTGTTTAGACCTGCTTACACGTTCTTTTAACTTACTGAGGCGCTGGTCTAGACCCGCTTAGTTATTGACTAACCCTCCTGGTATGTTTAAAACTATTTAGGCGCTAGTCCCAACCCATTGCAAGACTAGCCCCTAATGTCTTTTTTTTATTATTTTGTTTTGAGTACAACAGTATTTTTACACTAAATAAAGAGGAAGTTCGACTAAGTCACACAATAAATAACTTAATTTAATATCGAATTCATCATCTATGAAATTTGACACCAACGTCTTTTAAAACATTGTTTAAGCTCCATAGCGAGTGTACCCGCCGGAGCGAACGTGGCGCGGCCATTACTACGACTTCAATTGATTCTTGTCCAGTCCACTTGTCCAAGTTTGAATCTAAATTAATATTCCACAAACTAAAAAAATAAAAATAAAAACAAAATAAAAAGTTGTACAGGTGGAAGCCGAACCGTCTGTACACACCTATCCCTGAATCCTTAGGTGTCGCAATAGACTCAGGTTCAGATTCAACGCCCCACTCCACCGTCTCAGCTTCTTCCACCGCGAAATGCTCAAACTGTAACAACCGAAAGACCAAGCTTCAGATGGCGGCAATCCAGTACGACATTCGCTGCGCGCTTCTCCTGAATCATCACGCATCATCATCCACGTCACCGCCGTCGTTATCCACGATTAGGTCCCTCTGCCCCACCCTCCTCGGCTCGCGCGCCTCGGCGGCGCGTCGAGTCCTCTCGCTGTCGACCTCGTGCTGGACGACGTCGTTCCGGCTCAGAGCCTTCTCCACCGGCGCCGGAGAGGCCGCCGCCGTCAAGCTTCCGGAGAAGCCGTCGATATGCACGGCCGATGAGCTCCACTACGTGTCCGTGCCGAACTCCGATTGGAAGCTCGCGCTCTGGCGATACCACCCGTGCCCCAAGGTACTGAATTTAAATTTTGAAAAGGAATTAATTTCTGTTCAATTTTAATTTTTTTGATTTAAATGGAACAAATTTTAGGAATTAATACTTATAATTTACGAGAAATTGAGGTTGAGTGTTGACTGAAACAGGCGCCTCAGAGGAAGCATCCGTTGCTGCTGTTATCAGGAGTGGGGACCAACGCCATTGGATATGATCTCTCTCCTGAGGTAACATTTGCATGATATAATTGTTAGTAATGCTCAATTAATCGTTTAATTAATATATCTATTAAAAAAAAATCATTTTTCTTGTTAAAATATTGTTAATTTATAGCCAGATGATAGAGAAAAGCTGTAAAAAAATCCCAAATTTACGGCTTTGTTCATAATTTTTGAGAAAGAATACTATAAGGAATGAATTTTCAGTGTCAACGTGTGCATTTTATGAGTTTGTTTATTTGTGATTGCTGATGAATGTGGCATATCTGCAGTCTTCGTTTGCACGTTACATGTCTAGGCAAGGATTCGAGACATGGGTTCTCGAAGTTCGTGGTGCTGGATTAAGCGTGCAAGAATCGGATCGCAAGGAAATTCAGCAATCTGCCCATGAAAGATCTGAAGAGATGGAAGCTGTTTCTGACAGTGCAACTGATGCAGCTTTTCCTGCAGGAAAGCAGTCAAATGGTTTTCCTGTTGCCTCCGCACCTGAGACTCCTGCTCGAGAAGAAAAACATGATAATTCAGCTTCTAAGAGTGCCACTAATGGAGCATTTTCTGCAGAAAAGCAGTCTGGTGCCTCAGCATCTAAGATTCCTGCTCAAGGAGTGATTTCAGCTTTCAGTGGAGACGTTACAAATATAATAACTGTAGGGGATGAATCAAAATCAGTGACAAAGTTGACAGAAACTTTTACGCAGCTGTCAGAAAGATTTTCTGGCTTTCTTAGTGAAGGTCAATCGAAGATCATGTCTGCTGAGTTGCTTGACCAAATTTCAGAACTGTTTGCTGGTTCTGCATTATCTGAACGTATTAATGAGATAAACGATAAGATTTCAGGCCTGTTAGAGATGAGACAAAACTCATCTATTGCTAGCCAGATCAAGGACCTCAGTCAAAGGCTTGTAAATATCATTGAAGAAGGTCAGCGATCAGTTTCACCTCCATTGTTTGACTTGCAAGAGCGTTTTAATTCCACGCTGGAAGATTTCCAGAAACAACTTGAATTGATGGTGAAATATGATTGGGACTTTGACCATTACTTGGAAGAGGATGTACCTGCTGCGGTGAGGTGACAATTTATCTTGATGGAAGGCTTTCATATGATTGCCCTTTTTGAATTTAGTCTTTAGAAGAAGCATCCATTTTGATTACACATAGTATCTTCTCTATTATATTGAATCAGATGATTATCCTTCCTTTTACGTGATGAATTTATGGTCTTCAAATGTCATCTTTACAGATGGAATATATAATGGCAGAGAGTAAGCCAAAGGATGGGAAGTTGTTAGCCATTGGACACTCAATGGGTGGTATTTTGCTTTATGCAATGCTTTCACGATGCGGTGAGAATCCCTTTTTCCCCCATGCATTTCTTTTTCTTTATCTTTATTTGCCTTTTGGGTGGAATTTGCTGCTCTATGTATCATTGTTGATACTTGATTGGTTGCATACTGGTTTACGTGCTGTTTTCCTACCCCTCATGCAGTGTTTTAATGTGTTATTTTCTTTCCCCAATACAATTGAGTCCGGTTGAGTGTTATTCAGTTACATGAAAATTTCTCTTAAGAACTTGCTTAAATACTGATAGCATATAGCATTGATTGAATGCTTCCAGATTTGATTCCTTGATATGCTTTGGTACTATTTTCATTTTGTAATACGTGTGAGAAATGCTCCAGTATATGAATCTGATCTGGTAGCTTCATTATTTCATCTTTAAGGTTCTGAAGGAAGAGAGTCTCAATTGGCAGCTGTTGTAACATTAGCGTCGTCACTTGATTACACATCTTCAAAGTCAATTCTCAAATTGCTCATACCCCTTGTAAGTGGATGCAGAGTTGCGGTAGATCATCTCTAAGTTAAGTACAATGAATGTGTGTAAGTGTAGCTTAAACATTGTTAAGGAACTAATGTCAAGGAACTTGTCATGCAGGCTGATCCCGCCCAGGCTCTCAATGTGCCAGCTATTCCCTTAGGAACACTACTGACAGCAACTTATCCTCTCTCAAACCGTCCTCCTTATGTTTTCTCTTGGCTCAATAACTTGATTTCAGCAGAGGACATGATGCATCCAGAGTTGTTGAAAAAACTCGTTTTGAATAACTTTTGTAAGTATTCCTACTGACACGATATACTTTGTCAATTCCATTTGAGAAATTCGAAGTCAACCATGATGGGTGGTTATTTAAAAAGAAGTTGTTAGAGCCACTCTCCATGGATGTCTCTTACTGATTCATCAACAAGTCAACCATTAGTGATTCTGTGCTTTTTACAAATGGCAGGCACCATACCCGCAAAACTTCTATTGCAGTTAACAACAGCTTTTCGGGAGGGTGGATTACGTGACAGGAGCGGTACCTTTTTGTATAAGGACCATTTAAACAAAAGTAGTGTCCCTGTTTTGGCAATTGCTGGAGACCAGGATCTAATTTGCCCACCTGAAGCTGTAGAAGGTAAATTCATATCATAGACGGCTTATGTTCTCTCTAAATTTTCTTTGATTCGTGCTCATGATACTTTGGTCAACCAGAAACTGTGAAGCTGATTCCACAGCACCTGGTTACATATAAACTATTTGGAGAACCCGGTGGTCCACACTACGCTCATTATGATTTGGTCGGAGGCAAATTGGTACGAAGTTTTCTTCTCCGTCTCTCTCCCTCTCTTATGGTACAATAGTGTGACGTTCTCTATTGATATATTTGTTTGCACAGTCACTTGTTTATAGCTATATGCGTTTGAACTGCAGGCAGTGGAGCAGGTCTATCCATGTATAGTCGAATTTCTTTGTCAGCACGACTCCAAATAATTAGCAAAACGATGAAACTTAATCCCTTCAACTTGTTACGGGAGTAAGCTTTATTTCACAACCAGCTTGAAAGGCTTTCATCATGTTTATTGGTGCACGACCTGATCAAGTTCTTTACGATTACCGGGTGCAGAGAAGCGTTCCACAACAGGAAGAACGTAAATTCCTAAAGTATAACTTAATACACAGGTGACCCATTTTGTTTGAGGACAGCATGATGGAGGAGTAGTTTTTTCACCTTCAGCATTTTGTCAGCAAGTAGCATAGTACTGAACTCGAAAAATTATTGTATGATTCTAGAACATAGCTACGTGGTGTAACCAAGTTACGGATTACAAACCCACGTGGCCGTACATCAATATCTTGTTTTCTTCCTTATATTCTTGGGTACAAGTCCTACAAAGAGTGTAATATCTTATTAGTATCTTTCTCATCATGTGACGTTAAGGTCCACTATTGTAGCTGTACGTTTCGTGTTCTCAATAAATTTCATGGAGCGGTGGAAGAGAAAGTAAGAAGTTGAGAATCTTATTATTTTGAAAGTTTCATGTCTTTTATCTTTAGAGGGCATGTTTTTTAATTCGTTGCAAGTTTGTCGAACCGGCTGATGAATCCAATCTCCCGCGTCCTATTTCCGTTGAATTCTGACCTTAATTTGCTGATCTCCCGCGTTCGATTTCCGTTGAATTCCGACTTGAATTTTCGAACCCTTAATTTGTAGCAAGCTTGGGTTGCAGAATCTAACCAATGCTGTCAGGATCACAGAGACCATCCCTTGTCGTTGTGGAGTTTTGTTCCTAACTTGTACTTGCATGTTTTGTAGCAGCACAAGTAGATAAGCAAACACAACACTGGGTGATTGGTAATGGAGGCACACTTTCTGTCTCCCATGGTACAATGTCTACTCACTACTGCTTCCAGTATACAGCAGCAGATGTCGTAAAAGCTAAGTAGTGAGTCAAATTTAATGGCTCGGAATACATCGAGCTTTCTTACACGCTAAGCCCTCCCAGTGGCACGCCATAACAAGTTTCGAGAATTGTCGACAGAATGCAAGGTGTGTCATGACATGCATTCTGTTGACAATTAGCGACGCTTGTCGCGTTAGGGCCAACATGCATATTTTGGTGTGCCATGATGTGAGGGTTAGAGTGTCATGCCATACATTTTTCTAACACTTTGACATGCTAACCCTTGCATCGTGGCACGCCAAAACATTGCTGTTGGCCCCAACATTAGCCTTGCTTCTAAATTATTCTAGGAAGGAGTAGACCCCGGAGTCTTTAAATTATTTTTTTTGTAAATTACTACAAAATAGTAGGCAATTATATATGAAGGTCACTGATTAAGCTGAAAATTTACAAAGTTCTTACTGTAAGAATGCGTGTAAATATTTAGTTACAATAATGAACGTGTTCTTACCGGTAAGAACACTTGTAAATTTTTAGCTCTAAAAATGAACATGTTCTTATCTAAAAATGAACATATTCTTATCGGTAAGAACATGTTCAGTATTTGAGCTAAATATTTACAAGCCTTGTTACTGGTAATTACCATCAATGATCTTGGTCTCAGCCTCAGAGCTCTGCAGCCTGAAACTTACCGTCCATCTGCACATTGTACCTTCCTTCTTCCTACCTTTTTCTTCTTCGATCACTTCCACGAGAGATATTGTAAACTAGTCTGAAGCAGAATTCCAACTTGGTTCAAGACAGGCCAACTGGCCAAACTCACATATGTCTGCGTTTTCTTTCTTTAACAATTGTGCCATCCTGCTTTTAACGTGTGATAATTGCATTTTCTTGTCTAGTGGTGAGCTTGGAGGGGTATGATGCTCTGATAGATTGGCCCCGGGTTAACCTGAGCGTGAAGAACTCGAGCATTCTGCACTTAAGATTTCGCATCACGTGAAAAATATCCGATTACACTTAAGATATCGCGACCTCACCGACACGTAAACGGGAGACGTTCACGTGTTTGTTTACTGCAGTGACTAGTGAGGGAGAAAATCAGAATCCACAAGGCCACTGAAGGGTCAGTGACAGAATGCAAAATTGGACAAGTTAGACCATATACATTCGGACAAAGAAACTCTGCTTTAAGTCAATAGAACAGAACACGCAGATTAATTACTAATTACTAATTACTAAACTGATCAAAGGACAGCTGGAATCTTACTGTCTTAATCTTGATTAAATAGTTTGGTGGAGTCCACTCCCCCTGTGTTCGCGCTAAATGGTAGGTACATAGATAGTCAACAATCTTAATCCTACTGTTTAACAACGTGATGAAATCACGAGACAGTTGAAAACACTTACCAGCCAGTTGCTAACAAAAGATAGTTTATATTCTACCTTAAACTAGTCTAAGTTGCGATAAACGAGATTCCAGCTTAGGTGCACAGGTAAACACATTCGCTCTAACAATGTAGCTTAGCTGACATTTGTTGCTAACATAACAAGAATAAATTCCAAGGCTTTTTAGTTAAAATGGTACCTAAGATTGTTATAACTCATCGCTTTGATTCTTGAGATTTAAAATCAATAGAAGTGGTTCATGAGATTGTCTATAGTCAATCATTTTGATCCTTATATGAAAAATTTTCGTTAAACTAAAGAAACCAACGGTTCAAGTGGAGCAGTTGATTTACAAAAATATTCTCAATTTAACTGACGTTTATCACGAAAGGACCAAAATGATTGACAGTGGACAATCTCAGAGACGACTTCTATCGATTTTAAATCCCAGGACCAAAGTGATGAGTTATGCCAATCTCAAGGATCTTTTTGGCTAAAAAGTCTAAATTCAGTGGCGATTATCGTTCATATCCTAGAGGGGGAAGGCAAACCCGTTTCGTTCAATGGTTAAAGGATTATCTGGGAGATAGAGGGTAATGAACAAGAAACAAATCAACAACTTCATTAACCTACAAGGACAACAAGATACAAAGGGCCTGCAATAAGAGCATGAAGATATCATCCTTCACATATATACTAGTTAAGGGCCAATCCATGCACAATCCAGTTAACAATGCTCTTTCAGCAGAACTACCTCAACCTAGCTCTATCAAATAACAGTAAGGAAAGCAGAAATCTTACTGTTGGAATGCCTACGCCAAATACACAAATGCACGATCACTAAGATTGAACTAACCCAAACATCAAGCTTCACAAGTGGATTGAATTCGCCGCATCATATCTCAGACAGCAGATGTGGTCAACCTGTCCAAAGCATCGGAAATATGCCTCATTATTGGTCTCCTTTCAGGGCTGCTGTGAACACAAGCCATTGCGATCTTCAAAACCGCTATAATCTCGTCTTCCTTATCCACGTCGTGCATCAAATTTGGATCTAAAACATCTAAAAGAGGCTTCTTCTCTTCAATGTTGAGCTGAGTCCATTGAACCAGGTCCATTTCTGAGGAACCCACTTGGACTATTGGCAATCTTCCGGTAATCATTTCGAGTAAGATTACCCCATACGAATACACATCCCACTTCTGTGATGGTTTAACCACTTTCAGAGATTCAGGAGCCTGATAACAAGATCCCAAATTGCTGGACAAACTAACCACAGAAGCTTCAGTTGGCGCTGCACTCTTGTGTTGCCTTTCTTGTGATTTTTCAGTGGGGATTCGATTGGATTGTAGAGTTGGGGACCCTCCAGCGATATTTGCAAGGCGTCCAAGTCCAAAATCAGAAATGCGGGGTTCCATGTTTTGTCCAAGCAGTATGTTATTTGGCTTCAAATCTCCATGGACATATTTCTTGGGGCTAAACTCATGCAGATAGACCAAGCCTTTTGCAATTCCCTTCATGATATTCAACCGAACAGACCATGATAGCGGTGTAAATGATACCAGCCCTGGCTTCCCTAACGACATAACAAAACAATCAAATCAACAAAAACACCACACCTATAGTTTTATTCGCAAATCTGAGTTAAATACACCTACCATTAATAAGAGAATATAACAACCACTAACACGAGTATGAATACCCAAAATTAGACAAGGAAAAACGGGTAAGCTTACCAGTGAAGGGCGGTGGTAAGGCTGCCATTAGGAATATAGTCATATATGAGCAGCTTTTCATCAACAGACCAGTAATATGCCTTCAGAGTAACGACATTAGGATGCCTTAGCTTTCCAATTGCTTCAACTTCTGTCTGAAATTCCTTGAATCTCTGGGAACCTCCTTCGCCCAATCTTCTCACTGCCAGGGTGATTCCTTCTTCAAGCACAACTTTGTAAACAATTCCAATTCCACTTTTTCCAAGAACAAAAGCAGACGCCTTAAGAAGCTCGTCCAGATCAAATGCCACTTGTGTATCCAATGCCACTAGATCGTACTGCTCCATATTCTCCGATAATGTCTCTGTATCATCTCTTCTGAAGCACAAGCACTCCTTCTTCCTTACCTCCCTTGCCAAAACCATTTTCATCCTTAACCATACTACGAGCCCAAAACCTCGAATAACAATATGAGAAAAGCAGCCCAACAAGGCAAATGCCAATTACATCACTCACTATAATTGCAATGACAGCTGTTTTACTCAACCCTCTTGCTTTCCCACTCTTTCCACCATTATCGTCAGAATCCCCAGGGGGGGAGTTATCCGGCAGAAACGGAATTGAGGATGGTGGACTAGCACCCAAAACTTCGGAAGAACACGGGTTCTTCAATGGGGGGCCACAAAGACCAGGATTCCCAATAAAAGCAGTTGGTCCTCTGTTCATCAGAGCACCAGTTTGCGGTATTGGACCACTCAAATTGTTATATGTAAGATCAATGTAAACCTTCTCGGGAAGATTTCCAAGGCTAGCCGGGATTGCACCAGAAAACAGATTATGAGACAAATCAACAGTGCCTTGCAAGCTAGACAGATTTCCCATATCACTTGGAATCGAGCCATTGAATTTATTGAAAGAAAGATCAAGTTTTTCTAGAGAAACAAAACCACTTCCAAACCCTTCTGGTAGAAAGCCAGTGAAATTATTCTGACTAAGATCGATGGTTCTGAGCCTCTTGCATTGTATAATCGACGCGGGCAACGAACCATTAAACAAATTTTCTGATAAATCTAGGGATTGAAGGTATTTGAGCTTACCAATCACATTTGGGACAGACCCAGATAAGGAATTTCCATAAAGCACCAAACTTTGGAGCCCCAGAGCTTGGAGAAGCCCAAGGGGCAAGCTTCCGTACAACTTATTGTTCCTTAAATTGACGTGGCGGAGCTCGGAGAGGGCTCCCATGGCGGAAGGAAGAAACCCAGAAAGTTTCTTCTTTGGAATGCTGAGAGAGACAACCCTTTGGTCCTTGCATGTAATCCCATTCCATGTGCAGGGGTTGGAATCAGAGGAGTTCCAGTTGCTCAGAGACCCTTCTGGGTCTTCCGCAATGGACTGCTTGAACGACAAAAGGGCGTAGCCTTCCTCGTTCAAGGAATCCACCAGGGAATGAGAGTTGCAGAGCAGCAGAAGCACCAAAATGAAATTATAGAACATTTCCAGCAGAAAATTACAGAGTCGGAGTTCAAAGGGATTACCTTTACCGTTCTT